TCCAAGTGCCTGAGATAATGTATCTTTGTCTAGTATGGGCTGTAGCTTACTAATAATGTGTTTCCTTAGTTTGAACTTTGAGATGTAAGTGACTAGGTCACAGGTCGGCAACCTGTGGCTCCGGACCCGCATGCGGCTTTTTGAGCCTTCCCCTGCGGCCCCCAGCCTCCTCTGCCATTTGCAGAGAGAGAGAGAGAGAGAGAGAGAGGCACTTGCCATTGAAGCTCATTTCCTTAAATGCATAGAGTGACTAAATTTAGGATTTAAATTGGAGTGAGGTAGGGTGAAGGGAGGGGAAAGCTATTGTTATACGGATGCAAATTATATATAAAATAAATACAAATTAAAAATTACATATAATTACATTTATAGCCTGCTAAAAACATTTGTGTGTGTTGAGATTTTCTGTGATTGCCTGAAACCTTTAGATGTACCGGTACGTTACTCAGAAACTTTGAGGACTGCCATAGAGCGTCCTGGGAGGTTAAAATGCTCTGATACTACTTTGCCCTTATTGTGGGGTGTCCTAATGTCACATTTGTGTCCATTGGTTCTTTTGCAAAATTGGTATCAAATCTCCATTCTGTCTGGTAGTATGAAAGTAATTAATAAAAAGGACTTGAAACTCTACTGATTAAATTTACCTACTGACATATTATTTTTACTGACTCTTGACTACAAAAATCTATTCAAATGTGTGTCTGAGATAAAATGTAACAATAAAACACAAAATAATGTGTGAAAGTCAAAACATTCCATGCAATAAATGCTAAGCTTCAGTGGTTACGCTGAAAGAATGGGCAAAATATAACTTAAAAATAAAATCATGAGAATAAAGAGCTTTTCTGTCAGGCTTAGAACTAGTCACTGTTGAAAAACCTGTTGTTAATGCATCTACAAATTAAGACAGTATTTGATGTGTAGGAGGGCCTCCATCCCCAGAATGAAATATTCTTTATTCTTAATATTAAAAAAGAGGCTGAATATAGTACTTCCCCTGAAGGAGAAGAGGAGAGGCACCTTCTTAAAAGCAGCAGACTCACGCAGAAACCTGAGGAGGTTAGTCTTTAGGAATGGGGATTTTGTAATCTATTCAGAAAGACTGGGCCACACTATTCATAAAGAAAAAACAGCCAGAAACCCTAAATAAGCAGCACAATAGGCAAGGCCCAACTAAGATTAGCTCAGACAAACACCTAGGATTTGCATTTCCCTTCTTGCCTGTAGAGCTAGCCATGATCCCATTAAGAATCTGGCAACGGCCATTAAAATATTAAAGGACATATTCTTACACAGGAACAGGCATCTCAATCACAAAGCCCCAAAGAAGGTATAAAAACCCACCTACTCTCAATTCCGTTTTGTCAGCCACCCCAGAAACATGCTGCTGCCATTTTAGTTTCTGGCTACCAAATAAACAGATACCTTCTTGCCTAGCAGCCTCCATTTTAGTTTCAGCGGCTTTCTCCCAGCTTGGAACCAGACCTGATTTTTCTTCCTACAGATGCAAGAACATTAAAGTTTTACAGTACACCTTGAAATTATGGGTAGTCCTTTAACTGGCAGCCATATACATTGCTCTTGCTGACAGAAAACTTTACTGAAAGCAGAGCTTTAACCAGATTTATAAGTTATAGTAGTTGGTGGAATATATTGTGTGAGTTATTTATTGAATCTTGCCAATATTTGTATTGACTAAAGTGCATTACAAGAAATCATACCTAAAATTATTAACCAATATCTCAGTGCAGGACAAATAAAATCAAAGAAAAGTAATTAGAGAACACTTCTTTAATTTAAAAAATCATATCCAAACCAACTCATTTCAAGAATGTACAATTTACAGTATAATATTTGAATCCAAGTTAAGCAGTTTATTTTGCTTCAGACCTACCCATACTTATGGAGGAAAAATACTATTGAATGTAGTATTGTAGAATACTATAGTAGAATATAGTATTGAAAATACTATAACTATTGAGTTATATTTGTAAGTAAACTTGCCTAAGATTGGATTTTTAATTAAGAGAATCGCTATGAGTGGACAGTAATTTTCCTATTACCTATTACCCATAGACATATGGGGCAGAGGACAAGGAGACAATTATGTAACCTCACCCCTTTACATGTAGGAGACATTGTAACAGAAGTTCAAAAGTCGAGAACACGTGATAATATGTTTTGTGATGTTGACATCATTGTAGTTGGGAAAAGATACTGATGAGAAAGATTAATCCGTTTCCAATATGCACTATTTAATTATTTTTTGTTTATTTGCTGCTGTTATAGGATAGACCAGAAACATGGACAGGACAATGGAAATGTTTCAAACAAGTTATATTCAATCACTTTTTTATTCAACTGCCTCTCATATGTGGTACCTATTATTTCACAGAATATTTTAATATTCCTTATGACTGGGAAAGCATGCCAAGATGGTAAGTAATATTCAATTATTTTTTGTTGTTAAAAATACATATTCTCACACATTAAAAATGTTAGTATAATACTGATAAATGATTGGGTTTGGGAGAAATTTCTAGAAATTCTGAGCCAAAATGCTTTTGACTCTGTGGTTTATTGATTAAAAATGACAAGAGAGTGAAATCTTAATTTAATAGTTGCAGGGAAGCAGTGTCTGCTATTCGTAATTGTTAAACTCCAGCAACATTCAGCAACATTTTATCATTTATTCATTCTAATAAAACAAATACAAATATAATAGGTAATATCTGGATATCTTTATGCAAGACGAAAATGGAAGCCTAAGAGTTATTTTAAATATAATATAAACTACGTCATATGTAACTCGTAGGTTTCCTGTCTTTCTCAAGCAACGACTTATTTGCTGTGCTTGTTGCTCCAAGAGGGAAAAATATCTTATTAAAAGTTCTGTGTATGTTAAATATGTCAGGTTTCTACCACTGTTCATTGGATAGATTGTACAAATATATAACCATCTCAAAAACTAATTTTATTTTAAAGGTTTGTGATAGTTGCCCAGTGCTTTGGATCTGCTGTGATTGAAGATACCTGGCATTATTTCCTGCATCAACTACTTCATCATAAGAGAATATATAAATACATTCACAAAGTACATCATGAATTTGTTGTATGTAATTTCTTAAATTTTTTGATTATATAGTTAAGCTGTATATCCACTTACCAATAAGAAAATTCCATACAAATCATTGGAACCTGTTTCTGTATATGATTGCAGGCTTAAAATGTCATTCAATGGGCATGTATTAGTTAATAATTTTTAGAAATAGGGAGAAGAAACTAGCAGGTTTATTATTTAGCTATATGATTTCTTTACTGTTCTTCCTATCATATGAGGCCAGAATGGTTTACAAAAGTTGAAGAGTTTTAACTTAAACATTGCAGTAAACCAAGAATATGTCTTAGCATTTTTCTTAGCTAACTTGTTATTAAGAAAGAAGTGTATTGTGTTTTTTGTTATTCTGTTATCTAGAACGGGGTCCCCAATCCCCTGTTGAGGGGTGCTGCAGCCCACTACTAGGCCATGAGCTGTTCAGAACTGGCCACCTGAAGTGGTGGGTGCACGTATACATCCCTACTTGCACGAGCAGCAGGAAAGCACATGTGCTCCATTTGTGCAGACAGTGTGCCCGCCACTCGTGCAGAACCATCCCCCCCTCCCCCCACCATCCGCAAAGCCAGAAAGATTGGGGAACTTTGATCTAGAACA